AGCATCCAATGCTCCATCATTTCGATTGTAAAAGAGAATAACTGGAGATGTTTCCACACAAGACTTTATTTATTACTATAAATTTGAAGTTAACACAGGGATCAAACATAATTTGTACTTTTATAATATATTGAGAACTTCAACTATACAATATATTTAATTTAACCTCATTGATACTATTTATTATGATATCAATTACTTAAATTATACTTGTATAAATTACAAGATAATAGATAATATTATACTTATATTGTTATGCAAGAAATTTATTAATCAGGATAATTATTTTCTCTAGATTGTTAAATAGTCTAGTTTAAACTGTTTTATTGATTTTAGTTATAATATTGCAACCAATTTTTAGCAAAATTGGGAAAGTTAAACTTTTGCGACTTAAATAATACAATATTTATTTCTTATTTCTTCCTCTATACTAACTATAGAGGCTTATTTTAACAAATGATTATTCTTTTTATATTATGAGCGAGTGAAATGTGTTTTTTATATTAGTATACGGTATATCATGTATAGAAGACAAAATTCTTAAATTTTTAACTTTGAGATAGGTTTCTGGTAGGTAGTAAATAAGATTTATATGGTACTTTTAGGAGGTCAATATTGAAAATTCTCAACACCTATTTAAAAAATAAATATATATATATAGCGAAAAAAATTACCAGACTTTTATTGTTTTCAATATATTTTGGCTCTTTTGTGCTATTTATAGATATTTTGAATTATATAGGTTCTTAAAATATAAGTATGATGACATTCCTGTTCTTAAGTAAACAACTTGAAAATTGAATACAAGATTCCTCGTAAACTTGTCTTAGTGTACTTAGAAATGTCAAAAATGCAAATATTATAATTTGTTATAATTAATAATTTTAAATTTAGTAATAAATGTGATACGAGATTCTTCATAAGTTTGTTTAATGAAAATTAAAAATAAGTTAAGCGCAATATCATAAAAATTTTTAATGAGTGATTGAAATTTTTAGGGCATTGTATATTTAATTTAAACAGATGATAAACCGWTTTTTGTTATTTAGTTACTTAAGAAATATTGATTATAGAAACTCAAAAACATTTTACTTGTTATACTTATACACTTTAGTAATATTTTTCTAAAATATCTACATTTGATGAAAATTTAAAAACATTTAGACAATTTTTAAGATTTTTAAAAGTTTTTGTCTTTATTTTAGTGYTGATGAAAWTGTGTTCAAAAGTAAAAATATTGAACATTTGATCTTAGCACATAAGTGGTACTTATGGTGATAATTCAAAAGTATACTAAGACATAATTTTTTTATAAGCAGTTTAAAGATCAAATTTGACAACTTTAAATAGCAAAATCATTAATATGATTAGTAGTATAGATTAACAATGTCTCTGCTCAGAATTATTTTTTGTACATAATGTTTTATCAATGATTCAAAATATGTAACTCAACTACTCAATACTCAATACCTGCTGTGCAGAATGGTGACCTTTATCTACTTGTCTAGATGACTTCATTTTAGCATTAATTATAAAAAAATCCATAAATCATGCAAATCTCTAAAGTAATAAAATAAAGTAATTTCTTCTAACTAAAACTATAATAAAATAAAAATAATTAATAATAGTTTTATAGTCAATTTTTCTAAATAATTAAAACAAAATTTATTTATTTTTACAATTTCTGTAATTTATTTTTTATTACATGTCACATGAATATTTTAAGTACATTTATAGATACATAATTTTTTTTTTTTTAAATTCTTGATTAATATATTTTTTGTTAACCATTTACACAGATATAGTGTCAAATTTAAATTTAGAGAATAAAAGATAAATAAATTATACATTTTTATTACTGAACTATTATTTGATTAACCTAAATAATTATCATTAGAATTATTCCAATGTGGTCTGGTATGGTAGCATGTTTGGTCTGTCTTGAGGTCCCACCCTCTTTTACAGTTAAAATCCTACTAAATAACCTTCAAGCTTATGACCATAGATGTTGAAACCATCTCAATAAAAAAAAAATTATTCTGATTAGTAAWAATTTATTACAAATAAATCATTGTTTTTCCTTTCTCGCACGAAAACCAAAGATACTACTTCCTACTCGTACATTTGTGCTTCCTAATTCAATCTGAAATGTAAAAATATAGTAACAAAAACAATGATACATATTATTGCATATAAATCTGGTTATAAGTACACATTTTAGAGCAAAAATAACAATAAATTAATAATATAAAAATGAAGTATATATATTTATTTATATAAATATTAAATTGTATACTTACGGCATGCTCAAAATCATCAGACATGCCCATTGATAATTCTATTTCGGATGGATTTAATTTTAATTTATCACAAACATCTTTTTTACAATCCACCAAAGCCTAAAAATGTATAAGATAATAGATTAAGTTCAATATAAATTAAAATAATATATAAATACCAAAAAATCTGGATTTGGTCCTTGAGAACAATCATAACCATACTGACCAATCGTCATTAAACCAATCAGTTCCAAATGGTCACATTTCTCAATAATAAATTTATATAAATCTACTACTGTATCTGTTGATACACCAGATTTCTCTGTAAAATAATAAACATTTTAATTCAATATATCTCAGTGTTTGTTTTTTAGTATAATATTAGACATATTTAGTTAATATTATTAATAGTTACTATTTTATATTGAACCTAACTTARATATTTTTTACTTATTTTAGCTATTTTTACTTAATTTAAACTTACAGTTATTTAAAATATTACATTAAAAAAAAATAAATATTAAAATACAGGTTGTCCTGCAAGGATTTATCCATTGTGATATTTCTTGAGATAATAAATATATGATAAACCTATTTTTTTTTTTTATTAGACTCGCATAGACAAGGGTTACATGTATTTTAAATTTTTTGGTAAAAAAGTTAAAAAAATAATTTTTTAATTTTTAATTGTGAAAAAAATAAAAATCCCAATTTTATAGTTTATACTTCTCAAAACATTTTGAATTTTCAACATTTTACTTTCATTAATCTCATGATCTTTAATATTTTTTTTAGTCTCGTTTTTAGCTTATAGATAAAACAGTTAACTGGTTTTTATCTGGATGGCAAGTCCCTTCCTATGGCTAAAGGGTATATCCTCACCGAACCCCCCTATAATATAATGAGAATATATTAATGTATTATGGATTTGTATGTTAATATATTTATATTATTATTAAACAATATTTATGTAGGTATTTTTAAGTTTAGCTATAGTAATAATATTTAGTTTTTTATTTGCACCAACCTTTTTCATTACTAGTGTTAACTTGAACCATTATTTTCAATCTATTTTCTTTGTTGAGTTTTTTCCATCCATCATTAACTGCACTTGCTAATTTTTCACTATCTATTGTTTCAATAACATGTAAACCAGGAACCATTAATAGTTTTGAAACTTTGTTTTTTTGTATGTGACCAATAAAATGCCACTTTATGTCTTGACATTTTTCTAAAAGCTTTATAAATAATATTCAAAAATGAAGATGATAGTTTAAACACWAACCCAATATCAAATAGTACACCTACTTCAATATCAGATGATTTAGTAATCAATTCTTGGACATAATTCTCCCCGAAATGTCTTTGACCCTTCTGATAAATTCCAATAATATGTTCTATAGGTTTTGTTTTACTAACAGCAACTAGCCTTGGTTCCACATGGCTCTGCAAGTATAATACACCTAGCTCATAAATTTATTTTTGCATAAATAAGTACCTACTAATGATTACCTCCTTTCGTTTTTGAGCCACAACTTTGATTTTACATTTAACATCATTTAAACCATCAATAACATTTTCCAAAGTACTCATTTTCTTTTTATTAGAACTCAAATGTAATGAAATTAAATTCTTTAACGTTAATTTAGGCTTGTAAGTCGATGACAACAGTGTTTTAAACATCAAATTCTTGACATCAAAAAAGAGTATGACATATAATAGTAGTTTTCCTTAAATACATTTGTATGTTAATAGGTACTGATTAATACAAATACAATGCATGTAAATTAATAATTTATCTAGTAGATAATCATAAGAATACATAATTTGTAAAAAAAAACTACATACCATAGTGTGCATAAAAAATTCAGAATTACCTACCTCGCTGACAGAAATTATGAAAATATTTGAGTAAAGAAAATTGATAAAAACTAACTAGTTTTTACTATTTATTAAAATAACAAAATATTCTGTTATAAATTTAAAAAAAAAAATCCAGACATCAATGACTTCAGAATGTATTTATCAATCAATAACTTAATCATYGTGTCTATAGAATATTATAAAAAGTAATAATCACGAAATAATTAAATTTAATCAATATTTTATGTGACACTTACAATGATAATATCTTATAAATGTATAACGCAATACCAAATCAATATTGGTGTGCCAAGTTACATACTCTACTAATTTTAAACATTGTTATTACTTATTAATTATTGCAGTATTTCTTAATGAYTGTATTTTAAATAATAATATAGATTCAACTATTTTTGGACAATAGGTAATAATAATTTTTAATTGAAACTCCCAAACTTAAATAGTTAGATTTGTACAAAAGATTATTAAGACTGGACGTTAGCGATATTATTATTATTTACTAGATAATCATTATTTTACTTTAAAATGTAAATTAAATACATAGGTACTATCAATATTATAATATATGTATATCGTAGGTACGCACCATTTTTAATATTTAATGGTTTGATTAAATAAATAAGTACTGAATAATTAAGTATTTTTATTTTTAGGTAATAAAAAAAAAATTAAGCAYAAAACTACGAAAACAAAAATGATTCTGAGTTTCGGTCTTCGCCTAGTTCGCCTCTTCGTTGATTACTGATTAAACATCAACATTTAAAAAAAAACTGATAAGGGACCACAGCACTAGACTATGATAGGAACCCCTGTCATTGGGAGTCAGCTGGCAGGTGATTTGAAACAGTGGTATATTTAAAATCTTTTTTTCWATGGGTATATTATACATCGTGAACGTTACCATGCATTTTAATATTAATTTATCCATGAACATTTCTTTGTGATCATGAGTATTCAAATATTGAATACCAGAATGAAGTAGGTACATCGAACAGTTGTGATTTAAAAATATTTAACTACTACACTGCGTGAATAGGATAGCGGATGGGTGCCAGGTGGTTATTATTTTATTAATATGTAATTGTGTGAGTATGTGACTAGAGAAATTGTTTTATCTGAAGTGACTGAAGTCCTAAACTAAACAATACAATTTAATTTGGCGAATGAAAAGAAAATTGTTAAAGCAAGGACCACACGGTCTACGCAGGAAGCGGTAGTAGTGAAATGCCGCCTCGATGCAGGTAAGAAGCTATTATTAATTTATTATTATTACTCTATTAATTAATTATAATTTTTATATAATTGAACAAACCGTTGTTGTACCTATACGTTATCGTCACACCGTGCAAATTGCATAATTTAAAAAAATGCAAGTCCAACATTATTACGTAAACATAAAATTATGTAGGTACCTATTTGCATGTATTACATACTTATATATATATATGACAGGACCGATAGAGTCTTATCTATGAATATGCATGTGTATAATATAATATTACACTACGTTATATTAAATTTATTAAATTTGGTCAATATTATGGGCACCCTAAGGCCACGATTTTTCTCTCTCCGAATGGAAAATTCATTATCCTAAGACCTGACCGGACACGCGGCGCATATATATAATCAAAATAATACCTAATGCATCATGAAAATAATTAATAATTAATAATAATAGCGTACAACGTTAAAGTACAATATCTATAGGTAGTATATAGACAGTAGACACTAGACACTACAATATTATGTGTTTATGGTTACAAAATAATAGTAATTTATATTGTGTATATTATTACGCCTCGTGATTACAGAGTATATCAGTCTATTGTCTACCGGGTGATCGGAATTTAACTTCATATTGTAAAGTTCTCATTATTTCAAAAACTATAAGCGTTTTTGAAAATAATATGTTTTTTATAATTTTAAGTCATTAAAAACTACATTTTTGTAAGAAAAAATATATTTTTACTATTTTGTTATCGTTATTATTTTTAGTTTATTATTTAAACTTTAAAGTAAATCAAATTCAGTTTGTGATTGTGAGTATTAACAAATCATTATCAACTTAAACTCAAGAAAATGTAATAATTAGTAATAAGTCACTTCACTTTGATACTAAAGCTTATGAACTCAAATTTCAATGTTTTATGTGGGTTAGAGAGAAAAACAAATAGTCGGTACATTGAAATCATAAATCATAAGTACTTCGAGCTTAGTTGTTTKGAGGAGAGTTGAACAGCCGTGCAGACACCCTGCAAAATGCTGGTTCAGTTATCGACTCATTTGAACATTAAATACTTATAACTAATAAACGAGTACCTATACTTGTCTGAAATTGTATTTTTATAGATCCAATACTCTGGAATTCCGGATATTGATATTATTCTCCTTGACTCCTTATAGGAATATTAAAATAACAATATTATATACAGGGCAACATTTAAGAAGAGACACTAATGGACAAAAGACCAATTGTGGTACAGTTGGGGGTAGAAAAATTATCTCAGATAAAATGAATTATGTGCTGAACAAATAACAATTATATATATACATATATAATAATTAACATAGGTATTGGATGCTTATTTTTATTTTTTTGTAAGTTTTTAAGTATAATAATAGTTTATAGGGAGGGAGTATACGGTTAGTTTGGAACACGTGTATGTAGTATGTGAAGCAAGGTTTTTATCACCCATCCGGGAATTAGAAGCTGCGGGCGGTGCGTACACTCAATCAATCACGTTGCGTGAATGATTGCAGCAACCGGACCACAAAAATTATATTGATTCTAATTTTAGTTTAAAAATGTAATATTATTCATGTAATCTTATGTGAGTGTGAGCCAGGACCGAACTGGGCTGCTGTGATACTATTTTACAGTACAGTGGACAGTGGACCGCGGTCTGCGGTTATGTAAAAAAATATATACTTTATTATTATTAATATTTAAATCAATTTGATTATGCATAGACTTACTAATTAAACTTAGTAGTACCCTAGAACATATTATGTTCGATTTAAGATGTGTGATTAAAATAAATCATGTTAACAATATGAATGTATGAATTAGTAGGTACAAATTTACTGGGCATTTGGCTTTTGGTAGTATCATCACAAAAACACAGTGACAAATTGTCACTGACAATATTACAAAAATAAACTAAAAATATAATAGCATACGGCAATAACGATCGGAGTAGTCGTAGCTCGTAGATAGTGATAGTGAATAGTGTTGATACATTATAATTCGAAATATAAACTTATAATCATACATTTTCTAATGTAAGAAATAAAGTATATATAAGTATATTATAAGTTATAGGTACCATAAACTTTAAAATTTAAAAAAATACATAAGGTATATTTTACACAAATTTGTGTTATTATGWAGTGTATCGATCCATATTTATTTTTACTGTATTATTGGGTAYGTATTTGTTTTTTGATTGAAAGTTAAAAAAATATTATATGGTAAATTTAATTAGTTTATTATAATTTGAGCATGGATAGATCCCAGGAAATGTTTTTTAAGTACAAAATCCAAATCATACATTAGAGGATTGAAAATTTAAAACTATTATTTAGCATTTTTTTTATCATTTTTAGTGTATATTAATTGGTTATATGAAATCTTAGATTCAATTTTAGTGATAATATAAAATATTAGCTCAAGATTTTTTTAACCATTTATCATATTTTGTCGGTCCGTATTTTGATACGACGATACGTCTCATCTATAACTTATTTATCTATCTACGCACAGTATAGACTTATAGCTGTTGTCTGTCTTCAGTCTTGTATATACTCACTCAAACCATTAAAACTAATATTTAACAGTTGGTGTTATATCGTAATCGTGTTTATTTCAATAAATTCGTATTTTAATTTGTTAAAGAAGGGTTAAAAAAATTATAGAAATTTCCTCTTATCGCGGTTGAAATGCATTTTTTTTCTATTTTTAAATAGTTTTTAGGGTGTTTAAATCCGGTGCCTAATTATTAAAATATAGTTATTGTCAATTATAATTGCATACCATACATAGTGGTTAGTTTTGTTGATATTTAACAATTTAACCCTTCAAGTTTTCACAATTTTCACCAAACTTTATGTGTACTAGAGAAATACTACATTATAACTGGTGTGGCCAAACTACGGTTCACTATAATTCATTATCCAACCTGCGAAAGTGCGAAAGTATATTTAGGTTCAAATGTTTTTAATTAAATTACTTATATTTTCCTACTCATCCAACTGTGGACATGAAGCATAAAAAATGTTTGGCCATCCACTGTTCTATGATATTACAAAAAATATTTTTTAAATGGGCTTCATGAATTTTTTGACTGTGGGCGCGATATATTTCTAATGGCGGTAATGAATGTTATCATTTAATTCATTAATTAAGTAAAGTAAAATATAACGATAAATAAATTTGTTTTATAACGACTCCAATTTATATTTTGAGTGATCTTACATAGGTACACTGGATCACCCCGTATAGTCCCTAGCATATTTATTTATTCTTCTGTTAAACACGTATAGATAATACAAGACCGTTTTATGTATTACAATTTACAATTATTTCTCCTCCTTTCACGTGATTGGTTACAGATTATTTGATCATTACGAGATCGATCCGGTTTATTATTTGCCTCATTATTCCGACTAAATCGTTACCGTTATTGGTTTTATCCTAATCGGTTGATCTCGTAGTTCATWAAACCATTGAACTATAGCATGATATATGTGTATAATATTATGCACATATAGACAATAGGCCTGCTATAACTTGGAGAAAAAGAAGGAAAAAAAATTGAATTTTAATTGTTCATTTATCATTATTCTTTATTATCTGTGCACATTATTATATACGTCATATGTATTATATTATGTAGTACGTCAGTATATTATACTCATAAGTTTAATTTTCTGTAATTATATTTTTTCACAAGACCGTAATCATTTTCCATAAATTAATCACGGATTCGTAAAACATCAGTTGCGTTTCTGATTTTGTCATTGCTTGAATCGAATTCTGAGTACTTTTATGTATAATATTATATAC